TTTTTTTTTTTAGCTTTTGATCGTCTCTTTTAAATGATATCTAGATGTTGTTTATCTCTATGTGTCCATCGATGGCTGATTTGACTGCATGCCAGGCTTCCAGGAATTCTCTAGCAATTTTGGCTTGGTCAAGGTGCTCACACCTTCCCAGTTGAAACTGATTAAGTCTATTCAATGTGTTGTACAATTAAGGAGTTTTAATCATGTCTTCTGACAGCTAGATAGTGTTCATGGATGTGCTATGTAGTCTTCTGCCTATCTGTCCTAACTGACTAGCCTGGGTCAGAACAATAACAGAGTTTTGATAATTCTCGGTGTATTCCACATATGGCATGCAGACCTACAACAATTTAATGTCTTTACGGTATGGATGTAGAAACTTATTATCTTGTAATTTCTTTGCTCTGTCTGAAATTCTAATCCACTTCCCTGCTTTCATCTTTAGGTATTTCCACATAATTTTCAAAGCTCTCTTCAGCCACATAAATGTTTCAGGAAGAGCAGAGAAGGGCCAGTAATAAAGCAATCCATAACCTGGGTTACACGTTATGTGGTTTAACCCAGGCTTATTGAACAAACCGTAATTCTGTTTATAGATGCTATATGAACTACCTAGAATTGTTTCATTAAGCTGGGGTAGAGATGTGTTTAATAAAATGAAAGTTTGATTTTGTTTATCTTTTATGAGATGAATTTAATCACCCAAAGGGAAGGACTGAAACTCTTAGTCGCACGCCTGTATGCTCTGACACTCGAATAGTTATAATTGATTGATATCGTATGCACACTTTGTTGTGGAGCGGCGGTAAATACGGAGGCAGACATGGAGCTAACAGACAAGAGGCTTTATTCAAAGAATAAAGGGTTGCCGAGGCTGCCGGGGCTAACAGGCAGTCAGCTGGCGGCAACAGCTGATGCCGTTTGACAGCTCCTTTTATAGCCGGCTGTCAAACGGCATCAACCAATGGGAGCGGTCCACGGCTCCCGCCAGAAGTGCGGACTTGACTGAGGACTACAGTCAGTCTGTGAATACAACACACTTACTTTGATTTTTTTTTAATATCACTTGCCTCAATTGATGTAATTTGCATAAAATCATCAATTTCATATTAGCAAAAAGTGTGTACATTATAAATTTAAAAACACTATTTTTCTCATTAAGCTTACTTTCTAAGGAGAAAATAAATTATTATTTTTTAAAAATTAACCTTATGGTTTAGTTTGATCCAATTCATTTGCCATCTCTTCAGTGCATCGGGTAAACCCAGAAACTAGGTTAATTCAATAAGCATGTACTGTGTGGACCTAACTCTGAGATAGCTATTTACCCATTACAGGTAGTCCTTGATTTATGACTACAATTGAGAGCCAAATTTCCATTATTAAGTGAGTTTTGACCCATTTTATGACCTTTCTTGCCACAGTTGTTAAGTGAATAACTATTAAGTTAGTAACATGATTGTTAAGTGAATTGGCTGTAATGGCCCCATTGGAGCCTGAGTCTGTGGAGAAAGACGAGCCGGAGCTGGGGCCGATGGAGGTCAAGGGGACAGCCTCGTTGGCTCCAGAGGAACATGAGGAGGAGCAGGAAGAGGCAGCCCCAAGTCCAGGGGTGGGATTCTACCAGTTCGCACCTATTCGCTAGAATCAGTTTTTAACATTCTAAGCAGTTCGGAGAACTGGTTGTTAGAAGAAATTACTGGCCTAATCCTGTAAGGAAGGCAGGAAGGAAACATTCTGATGTTGCTTACAGAAACTGCCTCTCCGTTGACCCTTATGACATTCTTGGCAGGACTAGACTTCCTGTCTCAGGAACGTCTCTGGAGCTTTTTCCCCTCCTTTGCTGGCACTTTGCTTGTGTGGAGGAACCATTCAAAGTTACAATGGCACTGAAAAAAGTGACTTATGACCATTTTTCACACTTACGGCTATTGCAGCATCACCGCAGTCATGAAAGGCCAGGCGAGGAGATGTGTGCCTCGATGTGAGTGATGTTGAGTTGGCCATGCCTAGCCAATAACATGACCACCAAGCCATGCCCACCAACTTAGCCAGGCCCACAGAACCAGTTGTTAAAAAATTTGAATCCCACCCCTGCCCAAGTCCCTCAGGCCTGAGACAGTTTGCTAGCAGGGAAGATCTGGAGCAGAATGACCGAGGGAGCAGGAAGCGGAGATGAGGAGCAACGGAGCTCAGGCGATGAGCTAGGAGTACCCCCTTCTGATCTCCGAGCACAGAGAGTGGAGAGGAGGTGAGAGCAGCACAGGCCGACCCAACAACTCAGGAGGAGAGCGCCCCGCCCCTCTTCACAAGGCATACCTGGGGACTGAGACTTAAGGAGACGCTGTGGGGAGGGACATTGTTGGGAACAAACACTGAATTCATGGAGTGTTATGTGCCGTTGCCGACATTTGGATTTCACTGGACATCTTGCCTTATTGCTGCTTTTTTTCTTTGCCTTGCTGGACTTCTTGCCTTGAAGTCATTGTGCTAACAGCATTTTGTTGGACTACTCGCAGCCTGAGGCTGTTGGAGGTGTGTGTGTGTGAGAGAGAGAGAGAGAGAGAGTGCTTTGTTCTGGGACTTGCCATAAATGTGGAAGCGTTTGGGGGAAAGTTGGAGCAATAAAGGGGAGTTTGAACTATCAGCTGGCTATGTTGCCTCCATGCCTTGCTCTGTGTCATCACACTGGCATCCCCATTGCCATTACTTGTCATATGGTCACAAAAGGTATTCACATGACTCCGGGACACTACATACATGCCAGATGCCAAGCATCTGAAGTTTGATCACATGGCCATGGGGATGTTGCAAAGGCCGTAACTGCAAAATGGTCATAAGTCATATAGTCCTGTTGTAACTTTGAATGGAGACTAAACAACCTGTCATGCCCCTGTCCGAATCTGAACCAGAGAAGGAAGACGAACAGCTGACAGGGAGTGGGAGTGTCGCTCCGTTGGCTGTGGAGGAAACTGGGGAAGGACAAAGTCCGACTGGGCAGAGCAGGGAAGAGGTAGACCAAGGGAGAGGGCACACAGGGAGGAACGGAGAAGAGAGCAATGTGGGTTGCATGGCTTACGGGGGAGGAAAGGGCCCTGATTCCCTTAATTAGCCACACCTGGGAAGAAAGCTTAAAAGAACTGAATGCTGACTGCGGCAGTTGCTTATCTATGTTCCTGGCATCTTCCCAACCGTGTGAGTTTTGCTGTGCCTTCACATCTGGAATTATTGTTCCTGCCCTGCCAAACCAATTACCTCAGTTTGGCTTGATTGGACTTAAAATTACAGTTTTTGTTGACCACATTTTGGACTTGATTCTCTGCAGCCAAAGGCTGTTCCTGGAAGAGTTTTTCTCCAGCCCAGAAGATAACCAGGACATTGGGGGCAAAGTTGGAGCTAATAAAGGGACTCTTATTGATTATCTGGCTGTGTTGCCTTTGTGCCACGACCTGGGTTATCACACAACCTGTTGTAAGTTGAGGACTACCTATACTCTTAGCCCAACATTTTTCAAAGGGGTTGCTGTTTTTCTGGGATCAGTTAAGAGAGACCTTCATATGTGACATCATAGAGGACAGACAGCCAAGCACCAACATAACATAGAAATAACTGCGCCCCAAAATGGTGTTGTACAATTTCTATCAAAAAGTTCACTACAGACCTTTCTCACCCTTCAGCTCCATAAACAAAGGCATCAATGGCCTTCCAGAAGTCTCCTCTGAGTAAGTGACGAGTCCTTCTTTCACTGCCTTGTAGCCATTCAGCACAACCACCGGTGTTGTCCCCAGCCAAATGGTGTAGATGTTCCCATAGATGCTTGTTAACTAAAAGATGGAATGAGAGAGTAATGTTAGGGATATACCCTAGCAGAATGTGCACAGCAGTCAGGCAGTCAGACGAATATGAGAGAAAGCGTTTTTTAGTTTTCACACTCAGTAAAAACGGATACACTGTCTTAGTTGAATAGTTTATTCCATTAAAAGTTTAGCAGGGTCAAACAGTCCAAATATCATTCACTAGTGTTCATTCAGTTCAGTCCGGAGATTGTTCAAGTGCAAAAATCCAGTGTCAAAAAAAAAAAAAGTCAGTTAACTTACAATGTCAATCCATAAATCAGTCCAGTAAATATCTTCTCACAGTAGATTAGATATGCAGCATTCAAAACTCTTTCCTCTTTCAACGTCAGCAACAGGGAACACTCAGAACAATCAACCATCAATCCAGTAGCAATCCAGGTTCTCTAGCTCCCTCTTATGGCAGTTTCTCAACCGCACCCAAATTATATCATTTAGAGTTTAAAGTGAAAAACACATTTAAACTTTGCTATCATGGTTTATATATTATTTACCCAAACAACGTTAGGTAACTATGGTTATTCCTAACAAGTAAATGAGGAAAAACAGGGTAATGGTTGGAGAAAGAGAGGGAGGGAGGGAGGATTATTCATCTGTTTCCAAAGCACCTGAAAGCAGGAGAAGAAGCAACAGATGGAGACGAATCAAGGAGAGAATCAACCTGGAATTAAGGAGGAATTTTCTTTTTTATTATTATTATTATTAAATTATTTTCATTTTTCTTTTACAAAATGATCATCTTTCAATTCAACGGTGTATTAACTGAGTACATATATCTTGTGCACATGTTCATATTTAATATACATTTCATGCTATAATACATATCATTAAAGTTACATTCATATTAAAAATTTCATCCTTTTTTCTCTTATCATTTTAATATTCTCATTGCCTCTTATCAGATATTCATTCCATTTCTTTGTTTTCTAACCATCTGTAAAATATATCCCATATCATATAATGTTCTGTATCTTCTTGTTCTTTAATTTCCAATGTTAATCTATTCATTTCTGCACATTCAAATATTTTCAGAACCACCTCTTCTTCTGTAGGAATGTTATTATTCTTCCAGTTTTGAGCAAATATAATTCTAGCTGCTGTTAAAATATGAATAATCACATACATTTCTGTTCTTTACTATAGTTATCAGGTAAAATTCTCAATAGAAATGTCTTGTGTTTTAAGTCTATATGTTGTTTTATCATTTTTCCCCAACTATAAGTGTATTTTTATCCAGTATCTTTTTGCTTCTGTACATGTCCACCACATAGGATAATATGAAAGGAGGAATTTCCTGACATGGAGGACAGGCAACCAGTGGAGCAGCTTGCCACCAGAAGTTGTGGTCCTACAACACTGAAGCTTTTAAAGAAGAGATTGGACTGCTATTTGTCTGACAGGGTAGAAGGTGTCATGCCCCTGGTGGAGACTGACTCTGAGGGAGAGGAGGAACAGCCGACAGGGAGTGGAAGTGTGGCTCCGGAGGTTGTGGAGGAGGCTGGGGAAGGGCAGAGGCCGGCTGAGCAGTCAGAGGAGGACCCAGGCCCATCCCCTCTCCATCCTAGGGCACGCAGGGAGGAGAGGATAAGGGAGAGACACGGTCTACTCAGGAGGAGACAGCCTTGATCCTCTTCATGGACTGCAGCTGTGACAACTGAATAAGAGGACGGACCTGCGTATGGGAGAACGCTGGAGATAAAGCTTGGAAATATCTCTAGTTTATGGTTCCTCTCAGAGTGTGGCATCCTTCCCAGTGTGTGTTCTGTTATCTGTGGACGTCCTCCAACTCGTATCTTGCCTGGTTTGTGTTGCTTTTTCCCTTCTTCTTGTAACTGTTTGTGTGGGAGTCTTTTGGCTTCCGTCAAGGATATTTGGAGCTTGGAAGCAAAGTGAAGGAATAAAAGGGGCTTCACCTGTTTTCTGTGACTATGTTTTGTATCCCACCCTGGGTCATCACAGAAGGTTTCCTGCTTGAACAGGGGGTTGGAGTAGAAGACCTCTAAGGTCCCTTTCCAACTCTACAGGTAGTCCTCAGTCTTACAAGCACAACTGAGCCCAAAATTTCTGTGGTTAAGCCAAAGTTCTTAAGCGAATCATTGCAGTTGATAAGTTAGCAACCCGGGTGTTAAGTGAATCTGGCTTCCCTATTTGACTTTGCTTGTCAGAAGGTCGCAAAAGGGGATCACATGACCTGGGGCACACAGCAACGGTCATAAGTATGAACCATTTGAATTTTGTTCACGTGATCCTGGGGATGCTGCAAAAGTTGTAACTGTGAAAATTGGTCATAAGTCACATTTTTTCAATGCCATTGTAACTTTGAACAGTCATTAAATGAACTGTTGTAAGTCGAGGTCTAACTTGTATTGTTCTGTTCTGTTCTTACCTGCATTATTCTGTTCTTACCTGTAATGTTCAGTTTTGTTCTATTCTGTTCTTACCTGAATTGTTCTGTCCTGTCCTTTCCTGTATTGTTCTGTTCTTACCTGTTTTGTTTTGTTCTGTTTTGTTCTGTTCTGTTCTTACCTGTATTGTATTGTTCTGTTCTGTCTTTACCTGTATTGTTCTGTTCTGTCCTTACCTATATTGTTCTGTTCTGTTCTTACCTGTATTGTTCTGTT